GACTTGGGACGGGTCGTGACAATGGAAGTACTGGAACAAGCAATATATTGGAAAGAAAAAAGTACCCTACAGATCAAAGATATGGGGATACCCGATTATGACAATTAGAAATATATAGAGAATTGTGTTCTTGACAGCATCCAAAGCTTCAGATTTCTGTTCAGGTGTTTGAGTATCTCCAGAAACAATGTCAATTATTTTCCCCCCAAATTTTGGCTGCAGAATTGACATTACAAAGTCAAAAAAATATTTCACATCTGTATCGCGAATATGGGAATCAAAGGAATAGGTGAGGTGTTTCTCCGTGATAATGGTACATACCACTAATATGCTTGATGTGGATGCAATTAACAAAGCAACTGTGCCAACAATCAAACTACCAGCTTCAGGCTTTGCCTGTGAAGAAACATCATTTTAAGGACTTGAAATGAATCGTGAAATATTCAAGATTCATCGATCAATTTGCACAATAAACAAAATTAACTTACAAGTGAAAATACTCTACTGAAGCCCACATGTGCTGCCTGGATTTCAAATAACATAGTTAGATCCTTAAAAATACCAAATAGTTCGCAAAGCATATTTAAATGAAACTGGGTTTACCGGTACTGCATCTCCATGTTCGAGATCTGTCAGCTGACCATTTTCCGGGGTGTCATTTCTTTTTCTCCCCTCCTATTTGAGCGCAAGAATTTGAAAAATGAAAGAAAGACTAATAAATATCAAGAGACTTTACTAAATTAGACCTTTTTGCCAAAGTCGCCTCTAAAACCTCCGGGCCCTCGCGCCACCCAGCTAATCTCCCAAGAAATAAAATAAAGTAAAATCTTATTGCCTAATCCTATATAGTTTCAAGAATCAGGTGAAAACCGAACAATATTTAACTCATAGTTTCAAGAATCAGCCGTGGAACCCGAAAATGTTTTGCTTATAGCTTCAATAATCAGGAAATAGACCAAGAAAGGTTTAACTAAACTTCATCAAAGTTATGTAATCTTGATACTCGACTAGTTCAATGGATATCGCAAATCCCAAGAATGCATATCAAAGAACTAAAGTCCAAAACAACAAAATAAAGGATGAGAATCAGAAGTGGGTTGACTTCCACATACTATACCCATCAATTATTTCGAATTAGCATCAAATTCACGTACTAAAATACCACAGTTTTCAAGAGTATTTCGAGAGGAAAAAAAAGCACTGAAATTCAAAACCCAATAGCTAACCACACAAAAAAGGAAGTAAAATTACAAATCATCATGAGAAACAATCCATAGGTTGTTTATTAACAAGCTTACTAGTCCGTTCAGAAGAGGAGTCCTCTCGTTCATAAGGCCATGCGCCCCTGAAGACCTCTCCATAATTTCTTGTGTTAGTGAAGCACTGCCACAAGATTGTTCAGACGTCTATAGGGCCGTTCAAATTCCCCAAAAGGAAGTGGTTGGTTTTTGTCGAGTTTCTTGTTTGTATTTTTGACTAAGAAATAGACGTTGATTTTAAGGGTGAGTTCTAGTAAATGAGAATAGTATTTAACCTCTGTTTTAGTTTTAGCATTTTTGTGGAGAGAATATATTTTTTTGATTGATGTGATGGAGAATATATGGTTGAAAAAGGCGGAAAAGTTATTGATGTGATGAAAAATATTATTTTATTGAAGAATATGTGGTTAAAAATAAGTAGAAGAATGAAAATGAAAAATATTAATGTGGCTCAAACATGAGTTTAAATTTTCTTTGAGACTCTAGTTTATGGAATTTGAAATTCAATTAATTTATTTGTACAA